TTAAATCTTATTGTACAAAGAACAAGGCATTTTATAACTGTTAGAAATATCAAAGTCATGTGATTTTATAATATCATATGTTTTTATATACATAATCACATGTGATTTTATAATATCATATTTGCACATGATAATCTAACTATATGACACATTATAATATAAGTATTATTTTTATAATGTGTACATGTTTAATCATATGTGATTTTTCTTTTTGTGTATGTATATATTGCACATAATAATCATATGTGGTTGAAGTATAAACCATACAATGATCATATTTGATTATTTTTATAATCACATGTGATTACGTATATAACCACATGTGATTGTCGATATCATATCTTATTATACAAAGAACAATGCATTTTATAACTGTTACAAATATGAAGGTCATATGTGATATAAAGTGAAACATTCTATAAACTTTAATTTACAGTTAAAATACTTATCTATATTAAGTTTCACAAATCCATGATATCATATATATATGTTCAAACATTTATCTAATTAAACCTAATTATTGTCTTAATAAACAAGCAAGCATTCATCTAATTGAAAACTAAACATTGTCTAAATAAACAAACAATCAAATCATCCATTTACAGACAATCATTCAAACTTCTGTATTTGAATGTTAACATTCGCATCAAACCTCTTCCTATATCTTCATCTTGTCATTCACCACTTTGACTTCCATTATCTGTATTGGCAATCACTCAACCTTTGATGGATTTCTGCACAAGCATTTCTTTGATTGCTTTCTTCTTCTCTTTATTTTGTTTGTTGTACTCATGTGTAAGTTCCATGACATCATCCTTCATGAAATTAATCTCATAATTTATCAATGCTTGAGCATATTTGGTTCTCACCAAATCAAGCAGTGCATCATGAGGTCTTCCTTTGGGAATCCAATTTTATATTATGGTTGAGCCGTATACGTTTCCATGTATCTCATCACAAATATTCCACAATCTCTTTTGTTATGTTTAGTTTAACATAATAGATATGGTATTTGTGGTTTGATATTTGGGTCTTGAAGGGCATAACATATTGGATGATTTATTTCATGTAGATATCTCAAGAAGTATTTTTTTTTCTGAAAATTAAAAAAAAATAATAAGAAAGTTAACCACATAAAATTAAAACTAAAAAGATATTATTAATGTCTACATAATCACATACTATTACAAATATGAAATAATGTTTTGATTAATTTTTAATTCAAATGTATAATCAGATATGATTTGAAATGTTTATTTAAATGTATAATCACATGTGATTTATTTATATAATCACAAGTGATTTATTCATATATGATTTATTTTATCTAATTATATGATTTTCTTAATTAATCACAATTGATTTTTTACATACCAGGTTTTTAAGTACATGCATGTGCTTTCCTTTAATAGTTGCATCTAATCTGCTGTTATCCAAGATGATAATGTTTGGATTTTTTATTGAAAATGTAGAGAAACATGTGTTCTTCCCAACAAACAGGGAAGAATATCTGCATTTAAATATTTATTGTCATATTTATGAATATATATAAAGAATAATTTGATATTGAAAAAATTTAAATCAACATCTTTCAATTTTATTTTTTCTTCATCTCCTTTGAACCAATCTACAAAGTATTTTCTAAATAGATTGTATTTGTACTTGTCTTTATCCTTTGCTTCCTTTTTCATTTGTTCTTTTACTTTTTTGTCAATCTTTTTCCTTTTGTCATCTTTTTTTTTTTTCGTTTAGGAAGTTGCTCATCCTCAATATACTTTGTCAACATGTTAAATGATTTATTATTTTAGTGTATAATCATATATGAATTGAAATAGATAATATTATTTTAGTGATAGAATCATATATGTTTCACTTACAATCATTTGGACAGAGAAGAAAACTCTCTATGGAGAATTATTAATGTCTCGGCCCTTCTCATTGTAGTTCAGCAGTTCACACCATGAGTCTTTGACATCTGAAAATAGATATTCTTCGAGAAAAAAACTTTCAAATGCATATCAGAATACTACTCTTTTGTTTATTGTGAATAACAGCTGATCACTGTAAATATAAAAAAAAATTGTAATTTCACTGTAAATATAATGTTGAACAAGTATATTTAACATATATTTTTTAATCACATATGATTAATCAATGATTGGAATGTATAATCACATTTGATTTTCTAATATTAAAAAAGTATGTTAATGTTTATTTTTTTGTAAATGCTAATCAAATATGAATAACTTACTATACAGTTCCTTGCAAATGGAACAACCATTCGCCAAACATTTCCTCTTCTTTTGTTAATTTTGTTTTCAAACAAATTAGTCTCTCTTTATATGGAGATCTCCTTACTTCAGCTGGTTTTTTCTTTCTTTGTTGCCGATGTTCCAGAGTTACATTTTGTTTCGGGTGGATCTTCGCTTTTGGATCTAGCACATCTTTCACCAGATTTTCTTTTTCACCTTCATCTTATTTTTTTGTTCAGCAGTATTCTACAATTAATATATGGTTATCACAGTTAGAAAAATATTAGAATCATAATTTTAAAATTTTAATAATTACTGTTAATCACATATGATTGTAAGTTTAAATAATTTGATAATTAGTTTTAATCACATATGATTGTACGTTTAAGAAATAATAAAATCATATGTGATTACATTCATAAAGATATGATATTGTACGAATAGACAAAATAATATTTAATCACATATGATTGTACGTTTAAGAAATAATCAAATCATATGTGATTACATTCATAAAGATATGATTTTGTACGAACAAACAAAATAATACTTAATCACATATGATTGTACGTTTAAAAAAATAATAAAATCATATGTGATTACATTCATAAAGATATCATATTGTACGAATAGACAAAATAATATTTAATCACATATGATTGTACGTTTAAGAAATAATAAAATCATATGTGATTACATTCATAAATATTTGATTTTGTACGAACAGAAAAAATAATATTTAATCACATATGATTGTACATTTAAGAAATAATAAAATCATATGTGATTACGTTCATAAAGATTATATTGTACGAACAGACAAAATAATATTTAATCATATATGGTTGTACGTTTAATAATTAATAAAATCAAATGTGATTACATTCATAAAGATATGATACTGTACGAACATACAAAATAATATTTAATCACATATGATTGTACGTTTAAGAAATAATAAAATCATATGTGATTACATTCATAAAGATATGATATTGTACAAACAGACAAAATAATATTTAATCACATATGATTGTACGTTTAAGAAATAATAGAATCATATGTAATTACATTAAAAAAGATATGATTTTGTACGAACAGACAAAATAATATTTTATCACATACGATTGTACGTTTAAGAAATAATAAAATCATATGTGATTACATTCATAAAGATATGATTTTGTACGAACAGACAAAATAATATTTACCTCTATCATCTCTGGAGGTGTCAACTGACTTATCTTGAGATAATATGAGGGCATTATACTCTCTTCTTTTTTATCTAGGTATTCTTTCATGGTCTTTTCATAAACAGAATTGAATTCATCATTATTTAACATTTCGGTACGGCTAAACTGATGATGTATTTTCAAAAAAAACTTTCAATAACGTTTGTTATTTTATAGTTCACATATTCTTCAAAAATCACATAAACAAAATAAGTTAGTAGAAAAGTCACTTGTGATTATAAGTAAAATATATTGTTTTTTACCTTCTCCTTCAACATTTTGTTCTTCTTCATTATCGCCACCTTTTTCATTTTCAACACCTTCATCATTCAAATTCATGTCATCAAAACCTTGATCGTTATTGACTGTCTTTTTAAGTATTGTAATCAATTGTGTATGGTTATAGTAAAACAAAATAGCTTTTGTTGATTATGATCACATATGATTAGTTATATAGGTACAATATACTTTTTATCGATTATGTTCACATGTGATTATAGATAAATATTGATATGTTTTACTAAAACATATCAACATTTATAGACAATTATTAAGGAATAGTTTCATAATATTTAATCAATGACATCAAAAGATTTTTAAAAACTTTCAAATTACATACAAAATAATTTAAATTAATTAATACTTTTTAAAATTTTCAAATTACATAAAATAGAATTTAAATTAATCAATACATATACATAAAAAGTAATTATCATTCAATATAATATTTTTATCAGATAAATATGATTCGTACCTTCTCCTTGAACATTTGTTCCTATCAATTCTGCATATAAGTGAATTATGTTAGTTATCATATATGATTGTAAAAATATTTTTTTTCTTTCAAAAATCTCTCTCTCTCTCTCTCTCTCTCTATATATATATATATATATATATATATATATATATATATATATATATACATTTTCCTTCTATCTTTTCACCAATTTTCCCCTCCATATTTTTCCCCTCTATACCTGATATATAATTATAAAAAATTATTAATCATATATGATTAAAAGAATTAATTACTCAAAGATATTATATTTATATGTGATTATAATCACATCTAATTATAAGGTGTGTAATAACATTTATAATCACATGTGATTATAACCTATTTAATAACACTGTTTTGTTAATTATAAGATATGTGATTAATCACATGTGTTTGAAGAAATTATTAATAATTTGTGAAGGTAATCACATGTGCTTATATAAACTATAATTACATGTGATTACTATATCAATGTATATTTTTTTCTTTATTATCACCACCTTTTTTTATTTTCAACACCTTTCAACATGTGATTATAAAAAGTTACTTTTTAACAATCATATATGATTGAGTAATCATATGTTTTAAAAAAAATGTTGTATAAATATATTTGTATTGTTATGTGAATATAATCATATGTGATTAAAGAGATATAGTCATATATGACTATTATGTGTACAAATATATTATATTGTTATTTTTAATATATTTATATTTTCCTTCTCCATCTCTTTGTGGTTATTCACCAGTTATTCCTTCTACTTTCTTATCATTCTTCCTTTCTATATTCATCCCCTCCACAGCTAAATACAATTAAAAATAAATTATTAATGATTTGTGAATGTAATCACATTTGTTTACATAAATTACAATTACATTTGATTACTTTATTAATATATATTGTTGTTTACCTTCTCCTTCAGCATTTTGTTCTTCTTTATTATTACCACCTTTTTCATTTTCAACAACTTCATCATGAAAATTCATGTCATCCAAACCTTGATCATTATTATCATTTTCATCTTTCTCACCATCTGGATATATAAAAAATTTGTAGTTAATCACATGTGATTTGCATATGATAAAAATTTGTTGTTAATCACATGTGATTGTAAAAAGTTACTTTTTAAGAATCACATATGATTGAGTAATCATATGTTATTAAAAAATATATTGTACAAAAATATTTGTATTGTTATGTGAATATAATCACATGTGATTACAAGATATGTAATCATATATGATTATTATGTGAACAAATATATTATATTGTTATTTTCAATCTATTTATATTTACCTTTTCCACCTCTTTGTGGTTGTTCACCACTTATTTTTTCTACTTTCTTAGCATTCTTCCCTTCTATATTCATGCCCACCACACCTAAATATAATAAAAAAGAAATTATTAATAACTTGTGAATGAAATCACATGTGTTTATATAAATTATAATTACATTTGATTACTTTATTAATCTATATTGTTGTTTACCTTCTCCTTCAACATTTTGTTCTTCATTATCACCACCTTTTTCATTTTCAACACCTTCATCATTCAAATTCATGTAATCCAAACCTTGATCATTATTATCATTTTCATCTTTCTCACAATCTGCATATATAAAAAATTTGTAGTTACTCACATGTGATTTGCATATAATAAAAATTTGTTGTTAATCACACGTGATTGTAAAAAGTTACTTTTTAAGAATCACATATGATTTAGTAAAATATTACTTACCTATTATTTTAATATCTTCACCTCCCTCATCTTTATTTTTTTCGTTGTTGTTTCTCTCCTCTAACATTCTCCTTTTATTGTCCCGTAACTGCATATAATTTAAGATAAGTATTTAATTACATGTGATTGTATACATAATCACATGTGATTGTATAGAGATGTTTTTAAATATACTTACCTCTTTCAATATTTTCCCCTCCTACATTCTTTTTATTTGATTGATCATTATCATCTCCATTGTCATATTCATCATCATCACTATTGTCATTTTGAACATGATCATTCCTATTTTTTTTTCTTGATTATCTTCACTCTTATCTTTAAAAATTGCATCAAAGGTAATTTTCAAATGATTTAAGGTTATATTTTCTGGGAATTTATTTATTCCATCTTTAATCAACATATGTAACTTCCTATACTTATTCATAACCACATCCTCATAAGCCTACATAATAAATGAATTAATATATATATATATATATATATATATATATATATATATATATATATATATATATATATATATATATAATGTAACATGTAAAATATTAGTAAATAATAATGAGTTTTCATATAATTGTAATTAAATTTACCTCCTTATTCAATTCTTTGTCAACATACTCATCATTGAAATCCTCTGTTCCAAAATCACCAACCTCATCCTTTTCAAAACTTTCTCTCATCTTTATTTTCTCTGAAGTCCAATAGCAGATCACTGGATGTGTTCTTTCAATGTTAAGTACATCAGATTTGATTATGTCTAGATAAAGCAGCTGCAAAAAAAAAATTATTAAGTTTGTAACAAATTCTACTAATCATATATGATTTAAGAATCTGACATTTAAATTGCATGTTATTATAGATACTGATGTTAGAACACACGTTAGAAATAAATAAAAATCATATGTGATTTTAAAGATATTTAAATAGTGTAAAACATATTAAACATACCACCAAATAAGCAAATGGTCCATTAAAATTGCTTGCTGGATTTGATGGATCAAAAGACTGTTTGTTTTTAACCAAACAATCTATCAGATAAGAACACCATTCGATGTTTTCTATTTTCGTCTTGCTTGTTATGTAGTTTAATGGGTTGGTGTTTGCTTTTCCCTGAAGAGCTTGATTCTATCAGCAAGTTGATCAACTAAGCTATGCAATTCATCCTGACATTCATATATGCCTTGTTGGTGGAAAAAATCATCATCTTTATATCTTGAAGTCGAATCATCTTCTTGTGATCAAACTGGTTTGTCCATTCTTCATAACATTTATCTTCTTTTGTTCTGAATGGAAGTTTTGAAAACTATTTTCTTCCTAAAGAAAATCCAAGAATTTCTTTTACGGATTCTTTGGTGACATCAATAACTCCTTTTTGAAGAACTATCTTCTTTTAAGCAGAGTTAAAATTCTTAAGAACAAAGCAGCTTAACGCCCCTTGGACCTCTATCATCTTCATATTTAATATCCTCCAAAACCCATTTATCTGACACAATTTTTTTGTACTTCATTGAAGCCTTGTATAACGGACAACAAAGCTCTAGGTGTACATCTATCATCAAATATATCACATAATGAATTTAATTCATATGTTATGATAATAATAAATGAAGGTATTATACATGTTTTATAATTTTATCACATGTGTGTTAACTGAAAAATACATGAAATATGTTTTGAATAATCACACATGATTGATTTTTTGAATCATATATGACTTAATAATTTTTGTTATAATCACATGTGATTGATATTTTCGTATATAAAAGATATTAATCACATGGTGATTCATCTTTGAATCATATATGATTAAATAAATTATCTACTTTTTATATTGATTGTTTTTCATACATAAAAGACATTAATCATATGTGATTTAATAATGTTAATAGTATATCACATATGATTTAATACAATTTTTTTGTATAAAGTTGTTAATCACAAAGTTATACCTGTTTCTAATTGTATCAAAATGCTTCTTTATTATTTTCTTCTTTCTTTTCTTTATATCTTTTGTTGCAGAATCAGAATATTCTTCATTTTCATCAAGTAGTTGATCTTTACTTTTGAAAGATATGTGTAACATCGTAAATTTCCAACACAATTTTTCAAATTTATAAAAACATAATTCATTTGTAAATCATAAAACATCATTGTTTGAAACTTAATGTATAACATATAACAATATCCCAAGATCTCGTATCATAAAAATCCCGTGTGTGTACTGATCAAGCCGGCGCCTTCCCGCGATCCTCACTAGTACCTGAAACACATAACACAAAACACTGTAAGCACAAAGCTTAGTGAGTTCCCCAAAATACCACATATAACACATATTAGCCACTCAAGGCTATAAATCTGTGGGTCTGTGCAACCAAACTCTGTGAACCCTTAGGTTCGAACTCTACAAGCATGCACTGCATAAATCACATATAAGAATGCAGTACAACAAAGAATATATATAAAGCACTGTATCACATAACTCTATTTGCCTACTCAAGGTAAAGTATAGTGAGAAGACTCACCTTGCGTATCTCGGTAACTCGTAAATCCCTGAAATCACTAGTGCTCGATCTCCCGAGCTATAGTCCTCCTATAACACAATACATCTCTAATTAACACTTCCTAATTAAGGTTGACTAACTCTATCAAGTCAACACTGGTCAACTCTGGTCAATGGTCAATGGTCAACCCCAACTCGCCGAGTCTGGCGTGGACTCGCCGAGTCCCTACGAGCACCCCATTTCCTCTGAGTCCTTTCCGACTCACCAAGTCACTCACCCAACTCGGTTACTCAACCCCTGGTTCGAAATCTATGAACAACCCGCACCAACTCGTCGAGTCTACCAATGGACTCGGCGAGTGCATTCCATGCACAACCCCAAATGACCTTCTGAATTCAGATCTGTTCCAATAACTCATAGATCCAGTCGTCACAAGCTTATTTATCATGTAAAGTTCATGTCTTAGTGCTCATATCACACCTAATGACTCATAAATGGTGGTTTGACTTCAAACACAAAGATCCCAAAACAAAACCTCCATGGATTCATAAAAAGCTTGGACAAAGGGACACTCTGGACCTCCAAGGGTCCAGATCCAGAACCTAACTCGCTTAAGGGACCAAATGGGCACTAGATCTAGGCACAAAATGGCTCAAAAACCCTAAATCAACATGAACATCACCTCAATAGATAATGGTTCGAAAATGGTACCTTAAATGTGATGTTCTGGATCTCAAATCTTCAGGAAGTTGTTCCTCTTGCTTCCTCTTGGCTAAAACTTCCTTTCCCTTGCTAGACAACACCTCCAAGATTGATAATGGCTCCTTCTCTCACTCCACACGCTCAAGTGCACTAGGGTTTTTCTCTGGAGGCTGGTGAGCACAAATGATGGCCATAAGGCCCTTTAAATAGGCCCCAAACCCAAGAAATTAGGGTTTCATTAAACAACGCTGAATCGCCGAGTCCACCATTACGACTCGTCGAGTCCAGTCATAAAACCGGATGAGAAATCGCATCTCTACTAGGCGAGTCTACGCACCAACTCGCCGAGTTCTTCCTCAAAACTCAAAATGAAAAGAATAAATATAATACCTGAAATTTCCGGATGTTACAATTCTCCCCCACTTGAATCTGACTTCGCCCTCGAAGTCTCATTCGTGAAATAGCTCCGGATGCTGCACCCGCATCTCACGCTCCGGTTCCCAAGTAAGCTCCGACCCTTTCCGATGCTGCCACTGGACCTGAACCAGAGGCACCTCCTTGTTCCTCAGAACCTTGATCTTCCGATCCACAATCGCAACTGGTCTCTCCGCGTAGTTTAGGCTTGCATCCACCTGAATGTCCTCTAACGGCAATACTGCTGACTCTTCGGCTATACACTTCCTTAACTGAGACACATGGAAGTTATTATGAATCCGCTCCAATTCCGCAAGTAGCTCCAAGCAATACGCTACCTTGCCCACCCTCGCGATTACTCTGAACTGCCCGATATACCAGGGCCCTAGCTTGCCCCTTTTCCTAAATCGAATCACTCCTTTCCAAGGAGATACCTTCAGGAGAACATAGTCACCGACCTGGAACTCAAGCTCGGATCGTCGTTTATCCGCATAACTCTTCTGGCGGCTCTGAGCGGTCAACAATCTCTGTCTGACTCGTTGTATCTGCTCTGTCATCTGCAGCACAATCTCTGTACTTCCCATCACACGCTGCCCTACTTCTCCCTAGCAAATGGGGGTCCGACACCTCCTCCCATACAACAGCTCAAAGGGCGGTATACTAATGCTCGAATGATGGCTGTTGTTGTAGGAAAACTCCGCTAAGGGCAAATATGTGTCCCAATTTCCGCTGAAATCTAGCACGCATGCTCGAAGCATGTCCTCAAGCGTCTGAATCGTCCGCTCACTCTGTCCGTCAGTCTGTGGGTGGTATGCGTTACTAAAATGCAACCTCATACCCAAATCCTCATGAAATTTCTTCCAAAATCTAGAAGTGAAATGCACATCTCGATCTGAAACAATCGAGATTGGCACCCCATGTCGCGATACCACCTCTCTCATGTACAATTCTGCCAACCCCTAAGCAGAAGAGCTCTCACTGATGGCAAGGAAGTGAGCGCTCTTTGTCAACCTGTCCACAATCACCCAAATTACATCGACACCCCTAGCAGTCCTCGGCAACTTGGTGATAAAATCCATGGTGATCTGTTCCCACTTCCATTCGGGAACGTCCAACGGCTGCAACTTACCATGCGGTCTCTGGTGCTCAGCCTTAACCCTACGGCAGGTTAAGCACCTCTCAACAAACCACACAACATCCCTCTTCATACAGGGCTACAAATACTCTCTCCTCAGGTCTAAACACATCTTAGTGGCCCCAGGATGGATCGAGAATTTCGACCGATGAGCCTCTTCCATCAAAATGGTACGCGCCCCTCCCACAAACGGCACCCATATACGCCCTTGAAATGTTATGAGCCCCCGACCATCGGTAACAAACTCCGATACCACCCCCAACAACCCACTCTCTCTTCTGGTTCTCCGACCTCACAGCCTCAGCCTGTGCTCCACGAATGGTATCCAACACTAGAGCCATCACGGTCATTCGCAAACATACATCTCGCAATGGGGCGCTCTCCGCCTTGCGACTCAGTGCATCGGCTACGACATTAGCCTTCCCCGGATGGTACAGGATCTCGCAATCATAATCCTTGACCACATCCAACCACCTCCTCTGCCGCATATTTAGGTTAGGCTGATCCATCAAATACTTCAGGCTCTTATGGTCTGTGTATATCGTACACCGAACTCCGTACAGATAGTGACGCCAAATTTTGAGGGCGAACACTACTGCCCCAAACTCTAGATCATGGGTGGGATACCTCCTCTCATGAGGCTTCAGCTGCCTCGATGCGTATGCTATCACATGCCCTCTCTGCATCAGCACCGCTCCCAACCCTAGGATCGACGCATCATAGTATACCACAAAGTCCTCCATTCCCTTCGGGAGGGCTAACACCGGGGCTTCACTTAATCTCTGACGAAGAGTCTCAAATGAGGCCTGCTGCTCAGGGCCCCAACTGAACACCGCACCCTTCCGGGTCAATCTGGTGAGAGGAACAACAATCTTGGAGAAATCCCTGATGAACCTACTATAATAACCGGCCAACCCTAGAAAACTCC